CACTCAACAATGATATTGCACTTGCATCAATCAAAAATGTCATTAGAGTGTGAGATTACTGCATTTCATCGTGATATTTAGTGCTTATTTGCACATTGGCTAGGACAAGATACATCTTGTTTCGAAATGAACAATACTATTAGACAGAGAATCACCGAGAATATGCATAGCGATTGAAATGCGAGCATTTGAAGAGTTGAAAAAAAAACATGCTTGAAACGGTTAGTATGAAGGTATCATTACAATTATTAGCATGTGTTGATATTTTGAAGAACACAAGATTGAAAGAACGGATTTGCGTAGTTTTGTAGATCTTGACCTGGTGAACCTTATCATTTTCAAAGAACTTTTTTCCAGAGATCACTGACTGAGAATGTAACTATGAGCCAATTTTTTTGAATAGGACTTGGAACAATGCAATGGCATAACCTCTTCTTTTGAAATGGATATTAGTTTTCATTAAAATTCAAAATTCATAGTATATTTATATTTTAATCAAATTATGAACTCCGAATGTTCGAGAGAAAATTCTTGAAATTAAGAACTCAATAACTCGCATTACCTGTAACTTGTGCAAAATCAATCAATAATTGCAGAAAATAACGTTGAAATTCTATACTGGCTAGAGACGCACACAGATTTCGACAATGTGGGTTTTCGACCAACCATGCTTGATCTTGTCCTTGCAGTCGGTAACCTAATGGTGGATAAACATATGGTACTAATTTGACTTGTTTTATTGCCGCATAATCTAATAGATATTGAATTGTTGGTGGTATTGGATCACGATAAGGTTTCCATTGCTCTAATCGAATTTTTTCACCTAAACTCATCCACAACACACTTTCCCATCCCCAATCGTCCGTTCCCTGGTCACGTCGTGACACATTGGAGTTCGATGGTGCAAAAGTAATGCTTGTAATACCCAATTGTGCACATCGATTCATCAAACGTTTATACTCTTCAATACCGTGCTCAGTCGATATATCAATTTGATAGTCGTTATTATCCCATCCGACAACATGTTTGAGTGAATAATTATGTGGTGATACAGTAAAAAAGAACGATGTTGCATTGACATAGGCTTGTCTTTCAGCATAGTTAACATCATTCGTATGCCAATAGGGAGATAGCTGATAGAAACCGATAAGAAAACCTTCACTCAAATACGATGTTTCAATGCCGACATCGTATGAACTAGTCACTATTTGATTATTTGAGGCAATGGAATAAAGACCGAATGGATGTTGCCATGTAGCAAATATTCCTAAGGATGTTGATTCAGTACGTAAAAAGATTGTATGCTGTCTATTTGTATCTTGTTGATTAAATATGATTGAGGCCGATGAAATATTCATGTTGGTAACAGTGAACGTTGTTTCAACGGATGTTATTGTTTTATTATCGATATTTTTGAAATAGAGTTGTTTTTGTACAAATTGCCATCCTGAATGCAGTGTATAAATCGCTGCTAGCTGGTAGTTCGTATTGTTTGAACATGAATAGGTAAATGTGATTGAGTCTAAATCTCGTATGTAATACAAGAGTCTTGAACAATCAAAGTAAAGATTATTGATAAATAGTGAACTTGATTCGTTGGCAATCATAATCAACTGTGACTGATAAGTGATAGATGATATTTGACCAGTGGATAAATCAAATTGAATCAATAAATATTGGTTCGATAATGAAATTAGACTTTGATGATGAATATGAATAGTCATCATTGCAGAGCAAATGAAAACCAGCCATACAAAAACAAATTTGACACATGATATCGAGGACATTTTGAAATGGTTATCAAGGTTTTTTTCAGTGATTTTCTCGATTGAACTAAAGATTATATTTCGAATCATATTGTACATGGCTATTCCAATTGTCCAATCCAATTTAATCTAGAATTATATAGAAAAAAATTGTTATGATTACCATAATCCAGTGAGTTTTACATCGTTCATTGGCTTCAGAGCTGATCATAGTGAAAGAAGGAGAGAGCACTTACTACCAATCTTGGGAAATTTCCAAATTGTCTATGCAAGAAAGCTTCATTACTGCATGTTCTCTCCACACTGTGGTGAAAGATGCACAAAATAAGAAAAAAAAAGTGTTATTCTTGTTTGAAAAGAAGAATCGAACGAGTGAAAACATGCCGAATATTTCAAAGTGTTTGTGTCACATGCTGCAACCGGTTGGAGAAAAGCGAAATTGAAGGCTTTTATACGTTTTCTTTCTTCATTTTTTCACTTCTTATAAGACACGTTACCTACTGTATTATCAACATGTTGTTTGTTTCAATGCAATGAAATAGTTACAAAGGAATTATTAAAGGAGGCCTCATATGTGAAATCCACATAGAGAGTAGGGAGCTATGGAAGAGAAAAAAAATCAGATTGGTGATAGAAACCTGTAGAACAATGGAAATTAAAGTAAACAAAAAACAGTATTCAGCCAGGACTGTTTTCAAGAAGTAATAGCTGTAAAGAACGAATTTAGAAAAAAAATGAAACTATGTAAGTTTGAAGTGCTGATGTCGGGTAGGGGTGCCAATTTCTGGTTCCATTCTCGAGAGCCCTTACCAACTTGATATAGATTGCAAGAAAAAGTACGGTCATAAGTCTTAATGTAATCAGAAATGCGTGGAAACGAATCTTCGAGCGGGTTTCGTTCCTTGGGGACGGAAAACCCTAACATCTCTTATGTGAGTTGATGGATATGGGCATTGTGTAGGATGTGAGTGCGGGTGGATAGATATGGGTCGATGTAGGATGTGTGTGTGGGCATAGGCGGCGGAAGCTGAAGGCTGGATTAGGCATGAGTCTTACCCAAATTTGGCGTCTGTAGGCTCAGCCTTGCCCAAATTATGAATTCGATATTTTTTTGCACGATGGTTTAGACTTATCCTATCAGTTGAATATTATTTCAGTTCGAAGAATCGAACTTCTAATACGTTTATTTATATGTTGTGATAAAGAAAACTAAGAAATTCAGACAATAATAAACTCAATAACTACGTTGCTATGGTTTACAGCGATACCTTCTATCTCATTTACATAAAGTGATATGTGTACTAGGCCAACTGTAGAATTATGCGATCAAAAGACATCAAAACTAGCTATATTTGAGTGTCCTGTCATTCTCTTTAACGTATTCAGTGAAATATATCCACAGCAATTGTTAAAAATGTCAGCAAATATACCAACTAAAATACAGTGTCAAACGAGTTTATTTGCATACTTATCTGAATGTGTAGCTCTCTTATTTTTGAATGCCTTGGCATTATCATTTAACTAGTGCGTTAGAAGATTATTATCTTGGTCTTGCTAAGGAAAGTGTGATTTCATGTTTACATGAAAATCAAACAGGTAAACAGTACTTTCTTTTGATCATAGTCATAAAATCAATAATTTAGATTATAAACAGTAGGGGCATGAAAACGATGTACAGATTGATTTTGAAATATTTTACTAAAAAAAGTAAAAGGTGCAACAACATCTGTATGTATAGAAGAAATTGCTTTAACTGATTTGACTGATCTTGCAACAAGTTCTCGAGACGACGCTCGTGAAGCATCTTCTGTACCTCAAACTATGTCTCTTGTTAATCCATTAAATAGTGTCCATATTTATATCGTCAAACAAAAAAGACAAGCTTTTTTTTGTTTAATGTTTTAATATGAAATACATAGTTCTTGTATTTTTTGGAATTTTCGTCCTTCTATAAAGATTTAGAAACTCTATCAGTAAAGAACAGAGTAAGTTAGCACAATAACTTTCTGACAGCAAAACAATTAAACATTCTGAAATGATTTATCATCTGAAATTCCCTCAGATTACCTCATGCTGATATGTGATATGTCATTTTAGGATAGCAAATAAACTTCCATTGAGCCGCACCCAATTTCAAAACGTTCCGCCGCTCCTGTGTGTGGGTATGAATACAGGTGATGGTGTCGAGTGTGAGCGTAGGTGCGGGTTTAGACGAAGAGAAGATCCATACCTACACCTACAGCCCACACCGACACCCCGACTTCCTGAGCGTTCATTTATTAAAAGATTATTATACGAGATTTAGTGCTGACAAATATGCTTTTCCATCATCGAAATACTTTTACCTTTCGAATACAAACGTATACAATACAAAACAAACAAATAAGAGCTTTTAAAGTCTTTTTGCTACGTATGATGATGTGTGATATCGTCGAATATCTCGTGAAATCAGTAATGCTAGGGTAAGTGAGGACTAACATTTCAGCTACTTCGATACCTCGCACCTACATCCGGATAGAGAATAATATTATTGGATTACCGAACTTTTTGTGCGAAATTTTACTCATTACGTATCAATCTTAGCTTATATAGTCATGACAGTTTTGAACGATTATCCTTGTGTATTGAACTCACATATATTTTCGAAGAAAATATTTAGTTTAAATTTCAAATCGAAGTGTTGCAGCTTCTCCCGTCTCATTCCAGACACTGAACAACATTAACAATAAGACTTAGAAGGTTCTAGAGCATTACAGAACCTTCCTACAAATATATATGACTGGAATGCGTTTATCAGCATTCTAAGTAATAACGCAGTTTCTATTCAAAATATCAACGATCATGGATAGGAATGCATTGATTTATCATAGTTGTCATATATGATCAACCTAAAGCAAGTTAAGGCCTGCTGCTGTAAATATAAAGTATAATCATTTCCAACAATCTTGCTTGCTATTCACTTCAATGCTTATTATAATAACAAAGTTAAATAAAGAAAAAATAAGTAATACACGAATAATAAGAAGGCAAACATAACGTAGAGTGCTCGTAGAAAAAAAAAATTTCGGTTCGAAATATACAAGTAAAAAAGGCATAGTGTTTTGCCAATAATCGATTATCGGTGAAAAAGAACTATCGTCTTTTAGATATTTTACATTTCACTTATTTCTTGCAGTGATATAATGAAGCTAAAGAATAAACACACATTTCACATTTCAGTTCCAATAGGACGGGCTGCACTAACAAAATTCTTTTCTATGAGTTAACTTATTGTGAAAGTTTATAAGATTTCTCTCTCTTGATAAGCACGTGTATAGTTAGAAGCAGTTGATGAGATTGAATACATTAAATCACATATTATTAGTGATTGAATAACTATTTTGCGTATTAATCATAATGGAAAAAGAATGATTATGTGAAGCGAATGATTTGTATTGCAATTATATGTTATAGTTATATACGTCTCTCACCTGGCTCTTATAAAGAAAGAAGATTAATACGGTGTATACTAGGAAGAAAAAAAATTATGAGTTTCGTATTTGTGACAATGGGCACCCTTTTTTTTCAACGAATTTGAATGCCGGAGCCTACTCCTGTTTTTAGTTGTTTTTTGTCAATAATTAATGATTTGATATGGGTCATAAAATTTTTAATTCATTGATCGACGAATTTCTCTCTCAACATAGTCAATATTGTTACTAGTTAATGAATAAAATACGTTAAAAATACATTCTTATTCGTTTACAATTCAATTCTTTGTTTTCATCGTTATGTTATCATTATGTTCATCAAATAATAACGACAATGATTCAGCTACTATTGATTTATTGTATAATTTATGTAAAAAAAACGAAATAGACAATGTTCGAAATATTTTACAAACTATCGATAATAGAAATATCATAAATAAAAATCATCCCTCAACTGGTTCAACATGTTTGCATGTTGCATGTTACTATGGACATCGAGAAGTAGTAAGCATTTTATTAGATTATGGAGCTTTACGTTCAGTAAGAAACTTAGCATATAATTTAACACCTTATGAAGAAACTGGTAGAGATGATATAAAACAATTACTTTTACAACAAAAACAATTTTGTTCAAATAATGATTATAATTATATTGAATGGTCAATGATAGGCGATGATCTTCTTGAGAAACGACGCCAATTTCGTCACATTATTGATTTATATAAAGACTATGACAATGAACATTTAATATCAAAATTATTAGTTGAAGTTATTCATTATTATTTAGATGAATATTTGACAAATCAATATAATAATACTGAAAATTTAGAACATCAAACTATTCTTAAACAAATTAAAATAATTCAAGAATGTTTTAAAGAAGCCATAGAAAAACAAGATTATTTAACATATTTCATAAAAGCATATACATTAACAACATGTTTTTTTGAAGAATTAAATAAACATTTAGCTCTTTATATATCAGATTGTTTTGATAAAACAAGATATTTTTTATCAAATTATCGTCTTGTAAATTGTCTTAGTCATATTGTAACACTTTTAATCTATCATCCAAATTTACCTCAATATCATTTTCAAGGTGTATGTTATCGTGGTATGAGAATAACACAAAATGATTTAGATCAATATCAATTAAATCAGCATTTCTTAAATCGTTCATTTTTATCAACATCTATTGATCATCGAGTAGCTGAAATGTTTGCTGGTGAAGATCAACAATCTCATATGAGACATACTTATCAAAGTCATCGTCCTTTACAATACTCATGTTTATGTAAATATTTAATAAAACAAAATTCAACAGCTATCAACATACAAAGTTTATCAACAAGACCGGATGAAAAAGAAATTTTAATTCTTCCATTTAGTGTTTTTAAAGTAATAGGAATTAAACGCAATTATCTTGATAATCCAACAGCATCAATTTCAATTGAAATTGAATTAGAAGAATATGAAGATCGAAATAACAATGATTTACAATGTAAAAGATTTTTCTTCACATATCAAAGAAAATTTTTTCTTTAAATTCTATTTATTAAATTTTTAGATATTAACGAATTAGAAGCAAGTTCATTTTTAACATCTTGTGATGATATAAGAGACTCTAGAGAATATTCAAAACTTCAACGACGTCGATATATTCTTTATAGCATCATCGGATTTTTACTATTAGTTTTCCTTGTTGGTTTAAGTTTCACATTCATTTTTACTTTCGTTACTAAAAAGAATACCACTACAAACATCGCAACGTCAGCAAAAGAAACAGATATTGATGTTGACAATTCATTACCACTAGGTAAAAGTGAGACGAGAAAAATATTGCCAGAGAAGAGTCTATAACAAACTAAAATTTCCAAAGCTCTACGAAATGTTTATCATGATTTTTAAGCGAATTGATTAAAATTCACTCTTTTCTTATTAGTAAATATAGTTACTGACTGTGAACCCTGGCAAAATCAGGGGCTGAACTTCCACTAGCTCAAAGCCTGGCTCCATTATTGGTTGTGAGTTTAGATGTCACATGTCACAAGATTGTTTGCGCTACCATGGATATACCATGGTGCTTATAAGAAGCAGTGGCTACCGCTTGTGATTTTTGGATCCAGCTATAAACGATTGCAGAGACTGTTTTCTATCCAAATTCGAATCATTCACTAGAAAGAATTTAAAGTCATCGGTATAAAAAATAGTTTCCGAATATATTTTACTAATAAAAACTGTTCTCATGAACGGGGTTGATTTTGACTTCGTGTCTAACAGAGACGGCTCAAACGCATCAATACTATCATATCGATCTACATATCTTATAGATTGTCCCAATATATTAAATCGATCTAGCTGGAATGCACGCCCGTATATAAGTCGTGAGAACTTAAAAACATTCCCGGTTCAATATATTGTAATAAGACCAATAGAAGATTCTCCTTCACCTATGAATCAACAAGACTGCATTAAACAAATAACAGGATTTCAAGATTATCATATGACTACACGAAATTTGGATGATATTGCTTATAATTTTATAATCTGTAATGATGATCATGACCAACAAGAAATTTATGAAGGTAGAGGATGGAAATATATTGGTGCACATTGTAAAGGTTACAATGACAGATCATTGGGTAAGAAAATTTTCTTTTCTTCAACTTCCTAGAACAACAGATCTTAGAGTTTTGTCGATTTGATTTTGAGTTTGTCA